GTTGGAGTGCAGTGGCGCAATCGCAGCTCACTGCAGCCTCCAACTCCTGAGCTCAAGGAGTCCTTCTGCTCAGCTTCCCAAATAGCTGGGACTGCAAACCTGTGCCACCAAGCCTGGCAAATTTTTTATTTTTTTGTAGAGATAGGGTTTAGCTATGTTTCCCAGGCTGGTCTTGAACTCCTGGATTCAAATCATCCTCTCACCTCAGATTCTCAAAGCACTGGGATTACAGGGATAAGCCACCATACCCGGCTCATCCTGTTTCTGCCACCAGTCAGCTCTAGGATTTCAGGCAGGTCACATTCAGGATAATACTGTCTGTGGAAGGGATTTCTAAACTGCAACATGGTTGAAAAAATAAAACAGGCGCTGGTTTCCTCTCAGGGCCTCCTCTGTCAGACTTGGGTAACCATTCCTATTGGCCCGTTCCCGGGGCCGTTGTGAGGATGTGAGCCCTGGGCTGTCCTGCCTTTAGCCTCGGGCCCTGCAGGGTGCCTCCTGCTCTCTGGGAACCCTGATGTGGCATCTCCAACCAGCAGGGGGGTTCATTGGGCCTTGGCTGTCGTGGCTGCTGCCGTATGATTTCTTCCTCATCTACTTCTACTCCCAGACTCCCACTTACCCATCTTGATTTCTTCCTTCCTCTAATTCCAGGGGAATGAGCTTCAGAATATTCCAGGGGAGCAGGTCACGGAGGAACAATTCACAGATGAGCAGGGCAACATTGTCACCAAAAAGGTGAGTGAAGAGAGCCCCCCTTGTGCTGGGGAAAGGTGGGTGAGCGGGAAGGTCTTCGACTGTAGACCAACCAGCTCCAACTTCTGGCTGCAGGCCTTGGTGGCAGGGAGGGTGAGCTGGCCAGGGCGGGCTACCTATGCTGCTCAGTAGAGGGTGCTCAGGAGCGGGGAACTCGTGGTCCTCCCGCAGGCCTCAGAGCCCTTAGCATGACTCAACCCAAATAGCTCCTCAATGCTGTTCCAGAAGGGCCAGCCTCTACTAGACATCGAAACCGAGTCCCATGATGCCCAACCCTGGAAATAGAGCTGTTAAGGGAGCAGTTTATCGCCTTGGCCTGCCATGGGCCTCCTCACATGAAAAGGATGTAGAGAGTTGTTGAATTGGTAGCAGGTGTTAAGTCAAGAGATGTTAATTCAGTAGACATTAATTCAGTGGCCTGTCACATGTCAGGCACCGTGCTGGCTGCAGGCACAGAGAAGAAGGATCAGAAAGGAGCTCACATGTGCTTGCACTGGGCACTGCTCTCACAACCTTGGAGCAAGAACACTGGCATCTGTCTTTCCTCCCACACTGTGAGCGGCTTCAGGCAGGGACCATGCCTCATGCTCCAAGCTCAGGGCAGGTGCAGCATTGGTGGTTGTTTGACCACGTAGGTGAGTGACTACAGGAGGGCATGGATTGAATCGAGTCACTACAGACAGGAGAGAAATGCCCACTGCCCTCAGGTGCATGGTCACCGTGTGGGAAGCCAACACAGACTTCCACCCATACCCAGGGCAGGACAGTGCTATAGGCTTGGGAGCAAAGTCTCGCCTCAGTCACTAAATGACACCTACCAGGGCCCCTCCATAAATTCTAGCTCTGTGAGGTTGTCTGATGTGGGCTTTTCCACAAAGTAACAGGGTGACATGCCATCTCTCTTCCTGGCCTCTGAAGGGACAAGGGCTGCCTCTCCCTCAGACCTCGTTCCTAGGACTCACTCTCCAGCTCTGTCTGTAGGGATTGAGCAGCCCTCTCCCCCGCTCTGTCTCTTCCAGATCATTCGCAAAGTGGTTCGGCAGATAGATTCATTTGGTGCTGACGACACCCAGGAGCACGAGGAGGTGATTGTTGAGGGGCCCTTGGAGGACCCCCGTGAGCTGGAGGCTGATATTGAGTACTTTATGAGACATGCCAAGGTACTGCCAGTAGGCTCGCTCTACCCGGCCAGCCTGAGCTCCATCCACTGGCCCCCTTGTCCCATGCCCACCCTGGGCTTGTCTCCTTCTTCCCCAGGGGGCAGCGTCTCCACTGCTCTCCACTGCCTCCTCTGTCTCTCTTCCACCTCTGCCTGTGTTCTGCCTGTCTGTCTGTGTGATTGTCTGCTTTCTATCTCTGCTGCTGTCTGCAGGTGGAACTGAGAGGGAGTGGCCTGCAGCCGGACCTCCTAGAGGGCAGGAAGGGGGCTCAGATAGTGAAGCGGGCCAGCCTGAAAAGGGGGAAGCAGTGACCGAGCCTCTCTCCCTGGAATAGCCTCTTGGGAGGTAACGCCGCCTGCCAAGTCCCTCTTGCATGATCTGGCCCTCGGTGGAGGGACTGCTCCCTGCCTCACCTGTCCCCTCCACCCCCCCGCATGATGCAGAATGAACAGCCTGTGCCGTGGCCTCAAGGCATAGAGTCCCATTTCCTTCCCTACCGCCTGGCTCTGTGCCTGTTTGCTTATCCAGGGAACAGAGTTCATAACACCTCTGTTTCACAGTATGTCTGGGGAAAGATGCAGTTTGATGAAGATAAGTACTCTGTAAATCCAGACGATGTCACCTTGAGAGCCAGGCAAAGGGAATCTAGACGGTGGTGGCCAGAGCACTGGGGAGGCAGGAGTGTCTGCCTGGGCTGTGGGGTTTCAACACGTGAACTCCGAGACTTAGAGCCTGTCTCTTGAACCCAGAGCCCAGCTAGTCTTGACCACCCAAGGCTTAGGTTCTCCTTGGTGCTCTCGTGAACCACTCTGCCCCCTTGCTTTCTAGGAAAGGGCTTAGATGACAGGCCTGAGGGGTGGCTGGCGTTCTCCCTGCAACTCAAGAGGGCTGTCAGCTGGCCTGGGCACAGTGCATGGCAGTGTGAGCATGGGCAGGGTGGTGTGGGGCAGGTTGAGTGGTACCATGGTGGGGGAGGCCATGAGGATGCCGCGGCAGGCTCCAGCAGGCCTGTGCGGTGCTGGAGGCTCCGGCAGCCGGCTCTGATCTCCATCCTCCCTGAGGGATCCTGTACTGAGCTGCCCCGAGGCCCGTCATTGTGCCCCGCTCGGGGCAGCTCAGTACAGGATGCATCGGGGTGGGAGTCAGCAGGACGCGCAAGAAAGGCAGGGCCCTGGCCGGCACTGGCCGGGCTGCTCCCGATCACACCTGGAGCCTGGCTCTGGGCCACACAGCCAGCAGGCTCTGGCTTTGTACATTCAGCAGAAGGCAAGGCCCACTGCCTCCTGGGCCCTCAGAAGTGCTGACTCTGGGCTTCCTGATATATCTCAGCACTTGGGCAAAAAAGGGGACTGGCGGATCCAGTTAGAGGATAAAATTAGACCTGACTCCTCAGCAGCTTAAGGAGGTCACGGCATTAACCCCAGCACTGCCAGGGCCCCCCAAGGCTGCTGGTTTAGAAGACTGAATAGCCACAGTCAGGTCCTGGGACTAATTTCAAGGCGCGAATAATGTTTGAAAGCAGGGAGGAAAGGACAAAGATACTCTTCTTACTTTTCTTATGTTGGCAGTGGTGGCACAGCTCTGTTTCCATGTAGCTCAGGTCTACTGATGCCCCTGGATAGGAGAGAGGCAGGCCAGAAGCCAGGCCGGTGGTGAGGAAGGATCCTTCCTTTTAAAAAAAACAAACTTGCACAGAGCTGAAGCCCTCACAGGTGATGAGGGACCAGACCATACGAGCTTGGGTGTCAGGGACATGGAGCAGTGCTAGAGCCCCTGACAGGGAAAGGCAAGGGGAGGTGTGGGTGGGGGCAGTGGTGGGAGCAACCGGTGGGTGGCAGGCTCCGCCAGGTCCCTGGAGCCTAGGGGCAGTATCAGATGCTCCACCCTCCCGGCCAGAGGAAAGCTGCCTGGAAGAAGGTGAGATGAAGCTGATCCTTGATATTTACTTACCCACTCGCAGGCAGGCACAGTTGACCCTTACTACTCATGAATTCTACATTTGCGAATTTGTCTGCTTATTAAAACGTACTTATAAGGGCCGGGTACAGCAGCTGATGTCTATCATCCCAGCACTTTGGGAGGCCAAGAGGTGGGAGGATTGCTTGAGCCTAAGAGTTCAAGACTGGCCTGAGCAACATAGCAAGACCTTGTCTCTACAAAAAATGTAAAAATTAGCCGGATGTGGTGGCATGCACCTGTAGTCCCAGCTACTCAGGAGGCTGAGGCAGGATTACCTGAGCCCAGGAGGTCGAGGCTACAGTGAGCTGTGATTGTGCTACCGCACTCCAGCCTAAGCAACAGAGTGAGACCCCAACTTAAAAAAATGTACTCATGATCCCAAAGCCAACACTCACCACACTTTGGCTATCGTTCATGGGCACGCTCATGGTGGTGGAAAATCTTAGTCTCCTGACAAGCCCATTCTCGGCTGAGGTCAAGCAAGGTGATGCTCTGCCTTCTTGCTGCATACTTTGATCGTGTCCTTCTTGTGGTCTGGTTAGTACCATGTATTTTGCATTTTTGTGGGTGGTTTCCTTTTTGAAAATGGCCCCGAGGGTAGTGCTGAAGTGCTGTCTAGTGTTCCCAAGTGTGGGAAGGCTGCAACAGCCTCACAGAGGAAACGTGTGTGACATAAGTTTGTTCAGACATGGGACGGCAGTGTTCGTGAATCAACCCTATCTATTAAATGAGGTGTTGTTCAACAGAAATGTACACAAGACAAGGCTATGTATTCATCTCTTGACCAAAATGCTGTGACCAGCTCACAGGAACAAACTTTGTATTTTAGCGATGACGGTTCAGTATTTGCTAATTTGGTGTTCGCGGTGACTTCCTAGACTGGAACTACTGTGAATAACGACGAGAGCCAGCTGTGTTGGTTTCAGAGCATGCATACTGGGGCTTGGGAGTCTGGAGTCCAGGTCTGCCTCCTCCTATTTCCAGGTTGTGCGACCTTGAGTCATTCAACTGCCCTGAGTTCTGGTCTCTTCAAGGGAGGATGAAGATAGTACCTTCTGAGTGTGTGCTATGCATCAATTAAAAAGTATAAATTTAACACTGGAAACGGTGAGGATGCCTGAAGGGCAGATAAGAACACACGTGCTCTGGTGCCCAGTGCGCCACAAAGCCTGCTATAGTGAGGCGTGAGGCAGTCAGCTGGCTTGCATAAGCCACTGCTTCTGCATCCCTAGGACGACAGACATGCCAGGATTTCCCTGTAGGATGGGGATTGCTGTGTTTGTGTGTGGGGGCTGTACAGATTGCTAAGTCCTAGCATGCCATCTCTCAAAGCGCCATCCGTATCTCTCCATCACAGTCATCCCGAGTCTTGCTTAAATGTAGTGTGCAGGTCCATGACCCAGACCCCACTAGATTAAGATTCTGGAACCCGGGATTCTGCATTAAGTGACTTTTACGCATGTGGAAGTTGAGTCATGATGACTCGTTTTGGCTGCCCTTCCCGAGCCTCCCAGCCGTAATGTGACACGGTTGTAGACTCCGTGTCTAAAGGTGAGCCAAAATGGACGATGGGTATGGTTTGTTTAAAGATGTGGCAGAACACCCCATCCTGGGGGAGAACTGGAGGGATGAGCCGCCCATTCTGATTCCTCACAGTCACTCCAGCACTGGGAAGGATTTGGCATCCGAGGCCTGGTGAGGGTGGAGCAGTTTCTAGAAGTATTTAAGAAATTGCTGTTTCAGTGAGGCATGCTTGTTGGGGGTAGGAGTAGCAGTTCTGCCTTTGTGCCCAGGCATTTAGGTCCAAGTATGAGGGCGTCAGTGTTGTCAGAGACAGTGTGTAGTAGGAGCTGGAAGAGCTGGGAACCACCTGCAGCCACGGGGTCCCCTGAAGCCAGGTCAGGGCCCTGGTCTTTGGTGCTCCTCTGTGTCTGTGCAGCTCTGCCTCTGGTCGCTCCAAAGATTGCGAAGTGAAAAGGCAGCTGCCTCTGATTGGTTTTCAACTTTCAGGAACACTTTCCACTTGGACACTGGTTGCAGGACTTGCACTTGTTCTGAAAATGGATTGTTTTAATAACTTTAAAAATGAAACCATTGTCACATGGAGGGGACTGGAGGACAAGGTGTTACATTCAGTCTACCTTCTGGAGGGTGGTGTCGGAGACGGGAGAAAGCCAGGAGCTTGCAGGAGTGCTATACAGCACAAAGGGAAACTAAGGAAAATAACCTGGCCAGCACATCCACTGAGAGTGGAAGGACTCCTTTCTAAGCTTCTGAAAGGGTGAACCCTTACCAGAGGTAGCCAGGGGAGAGGCGAGGCATAGTGCAGGAATCCTGGGTCCTGATCCCATCCTCCCCCCCGCCTTCCTACTCCTGCCACCGCTCCTCTCCAGCCTGTTTTCCTAGAGATGATGAAATGGGTGGTCACGTTAGCATGAACTTTTTCCTCTGCTCAGTGCCTGGGCAGCTCGTCTTTCCTAGGCTCCAGATTCCATAGTGGTCTCCTATTTGAGGAGTGCTTGCCTGGAGTAGACCATGAGGGGAACACCAGGAGGCTGTTCCTGTCCTCAGGAGTGTTTCTAATCCAGCCAGGGGAGTATGCAGACATAAAAAAGGCAGAGGGACAGAGACTGTGGCATTTCCAGAGCCCAGTACTCACTCACATTCATACAGTACGTGCCTTAGGTGTCTGATAGCTCTTGTAAACACCACAGCTATCTAATGAGGTAGGTCCTGTTATTGCCCTTATTTTACAGCAGAGGAAACTGAGTCACAGAGCAGGTAAGTCACTTGACCTAGGCCAAGCAGCACAGGATTTGAGCCCAGGCAGTCTGGCTCCAGAGTTTAGGCTGTTAGCCTCTGCTGTCTTTCTAAACAAAAGGTAGTGACAGGAAGGGAGGGCTTCTGGAGTGAAGGGAGTCAGGTGACCAGGAGGGCTTCCTGGGGAGGAGGTGTTGCAGGTGGCGGGCAGAACTCCCACAGAAAGGGTGTGAGGTGGCTTCTACAAAGACCTGCAACCCATGGCAGTGGGCCCAAGGGCAGTGCGTGTTCGGGAAGCCTCAGGAGAGAACAGGGTTTGGCTGAGGGGCTGGGTAATGGGGAAGGAGTCTTCCCTCTAAAGTGATGGCTGTCACCCCTGCAGCAGCAGTGTCTGCTGTTACAGTTTATGGCAGCCCCTAGCAAGGCACTTAGCACCTCCTGCCATCCCTGAGGACCCCTGGAGAGGTGAGTGCTCCTTGGTCACCTCCAACACTCCTCCCCAACCCTGTCCCCTGGGGACCCAAGGCAGCCCCACATCTGGGGATGGCTCTTCCTCAGAATGAGCTTCTGCCTTTCTGTGTCGCATCCTGTCCCAGTTGGGAAATTGTCAGTACCTCTTTTATTAAAATGTCCACCTCTCCCCAGCAGTCCCAAGGTCCTGCAAACACAAGTTGTATAGCTGGTTTTCACCCAGGTTGAGGGCAGGAGAGGTGGCTCACTGATGGCCAGGCCCTCAGGCAAAGCTGCAACTCCAGCCTCAGATACAATACTCCAGGAGAACATACCTGGTTTCAAAGATCTCTTGCCACAATGGAGGTTGTCCATCCATGGGTCATGGGGAGGGGAGCCAGAGACACCAACAGGAAGAGCTGTGGACCAGAGCCAAGAGAAGCTGTGACCCTAGAGAACACAAGCTCCCGAGGCCAGAGATGGCTTCTTCTCCATCTGGGGGCACCCAGGCAGACCTGGTGCATGTTGGCCAGACCAAACTGAGAAAGTGAAGGCCATCACTGCCTCACCTAGTCCCTCTCCTGGCATGAGGCCTGGCTCATGAAAATGGCTGGCCTCTCAGGCATGGGGGCCTTCTGCCTCTCCTTGGAGAGCATGGGCACAGTGATATCCTCCACCCACACATGGCCTCCCGGGACCTCACCCATGCAGCAAAGAACTGGTGGAGGCCCCAGACCGTTCTGAGAGGCATCCCGTGAGCACGGGCCAGAGGAAGGAGGGACAGTGTCTCAGGAGGCCAGGCCTGCGGGCGCACCACCCTCCAGTGTAGCACTCAGCTGGGGCACCACCATTCCCGAGTCACGCTTGCCTGAGCCACCAGCACACAGATCTGCATTGGGGGTTTTTGCTGAGGGTTGTGCCTTCACCTCTAAGAGGCTCTTGTCTCTCTGTCCCTCAGGATCACACCTCGACACCCAACCCCTGACCTCCACACTCTGCCATGCACACCGGAGGAGAGCTGGACCGAGGGCTGCAGATGGCACACACGCTCCTCTTGGCAGGCGGCATGGTCTCTGTAAGGGACTCCTTTAGTCCTCATTCGCATGACGACTGACTGTAGACGCATGACCTAAGGCTTCAATTCTGCCTCTAGCACGGCAGCTGATCTCTGTTGGACAAAAGCAGCAAGAAGGGGGGAGAGTTGGGAGGAAACCGGTGAGAGAGAGCGTGTGAACGCACAAGTGATCAAGGGCTTTTTTGTGGCTGGGGATGGTTTTTGATTTTTTAAAAATTGTTTTAATTTTGACTTCGTACAGGGTACTTTTTTTTCAACCTCATCTATAAAAAATCCATGTGGGCTTCCTGGAAAGAAAAAAAAGAGAAAACTAGGCATGAAATCAGTCCCTAAATTCCATGTCTGTCCTCACCTTCCCCGAACTGCACACCTCCATGGCGTCTGTGACAGGTGCCCCCAGAACGCCCCACATGACATTCAGGACACATGCGCCCACTCCTCTCCACTCACAATATACACAGATTTTACTGTGACATCTGAAGCTGTTTAGAGTCTCCTGTGGATCAACTGGAATTTTTTAATGTCGTCTCTCTCTGCCAGTTTCAGTACTCATCATCTTCCCATGGAAATCGTGACCTTTAGCGTGCATTTGGGGCTCCTTGTGTTAGGGACGTGAGGACCCCAGGCTTAGCTGTAGGGCTCGAGGAGCCGGCCTCCCATCAGAGAGGGTCTTCTCTCTCGGCCGGAGGGCCGGCGGCTGTCCTGGGTTGCACCAGCATGTTCCATAGAGAGGTTTTCTCTATCTCCAAGCACTATATCCTAGTCCGTGTTCAAAGTGTAAACTGTACAGTAATCAGCCTTGTGTATATGAAAAACAATAAATACTATGCAAACAATAGAAACACGTAGCGGTATGTACCAAGCACTGACAGCTTAGCTCCTGAGGACTCTCCAGGCTGCAGGAGAAGGAGCTAGCGCCTGTCTTCCAGCGAGGAAGGAAGGGAGGAAGGGAGGAAGGGAGGAAGGAAAGAAGGAAGGAAGGAAGGAAGGAAGGAAGGAAGGAAGGAAGGAAGGAGTAGGGCTAGTGAATGTAGCTGCCAGGTCTTAGGAGTCAGGACCCCCCAGGTCTCCCAGAGCGAACTTGGTGCTCTAAGTCCAGGCAGCCGGCAGGCGGAGGTCCCCGGTGCAGGCGCGAGGCTCCAGGCCAGACGGCCTCAGTGCCTCTCCTCTGACCAGCCCCTGTGGCTCCCTTGGAGAGGCGGGGCCGGGCAGGCTCCGACGGGGCAGAGCCAGGAGGGGAGCCGCTGACCGCCAAGGCCGGCTCCGGGTCAGGGCAGGAAGGAGACAGAGGCCGCTGTTCCTCGCCTCGGTGCCATCAGGGAGGAGCCTTAAGGTCCACCGGAGCCTCTGGCCCAGGGAGGCCCGAATCAGCACAATCCCGGCCCGCCCCGGCGGCGGCGCCCTCGGCCGGAGAGAGACTGCAGGCTCTTCCCGACCCTGAGCCGCGGGCGCGGACGTGGTCACCTCTCCGCCGCCCCCGGTGTCCTCGGGACACACTTCAACCTTCCAAGTAGCACAGAAGCCCCTCCACGTCAGAGGCCCCGGCAGGTGACCCGCGCCACCGGCCCTGCCCCGCGCCCCCGAGCTCCCCGGCGCCGGG